TTTTTTTAGCCTTTGGAACATCCAATGATTTGTTCCAGTTTATCGTAATCCCAACAATTCAAATTCTACTCTGGTTTTGATTAAAATGCCCCCTGCTGATTTCCTTTAAATTTGTTTTTCAACACATCTAACTTTCCCTCTTTTCAGTCCAAATGAAAAGGATGACACTGTAGATCCAACCCAAAAAACTTCATGCATCACTTAGTTATCCTTTTAGTTATGGAAGATCAGAAGAATATGTTGTGAAGGATTATCCACAGCTGCAGACTGCAGCTGATTCTTCTGTGGACTTGCATAACAAAATTATTTAATTTACTTTTCAAACTTTTTGTTTTGTCATGCAAAAAGGGGTGAATAACTTAGCTACAAGCGGAAACGGAAGCTCACCACATATTAGTTAACTAATTAGAAAACTAAATGAGAGCTCGCTCCCTACCAACCTGCTAGTCTACTCTTTCCTAGTGGAAGGAGCTATGTAAAATTAGCCCTCTAACACCTATTTTGGAGGACGGATGAACGGATAATCGGATAATCGGATAACGATAATCACAGCCCAGGATTATCTGCCTAACATTCATTTCTAGAATAATTAGATTCAAGGATAACCCCTGGTATAGGACTCTAGATTACCCCCAGAGAGGGAATAACTGTGAACTCCCCCGCTAGGATGTTAGGTGTGTATGAAGTGTGTAATATAAATCAGTTAAGACAAGTGTGCCGTGGTGTGACTGCTCAAAACTTAACTTCCGAGGTACACAGGGTCCTTAAGGGGACTTCCAGTCTTTATGGTGTAAATGATTTCAGTCAGAAAATGATTTCAAAAAAGTTTCCAAAAATGTATTAAAAAATTCCAAATTATATTCTAAATGCAAATACAAAACAGTAAAAGTAAAAATAGAAAAATAGAAAAGAAAAGCGAAACACAAAGACCAAAGTCTAAAGCCGAGAGTGTAGACACTTGAGGTTTTAAAAGATCTTGGTCTCAGAGATGAAGTCCCAAAATGGGATTTCAAAAGTCAGAGTGACGTGGATTCATTTAGCAAAGCAAAAAAGAACCTGGATCAGCTTTTACACAGCGTTTTTCTAGCCAAACCGTCTCTTTTTTTCAAGATTCTGTGAAACCTCAACAATGCAGATTTGCAGAAACGTGATACATACACATGTATTTAACAAAGTTCAACCAAGTTCATATGGGGTCTTGATGTCTAAGTTCATATGTGTTTTTAGCTTGAAGACCATGAACCAGGCAGAAACGCTATACGCCTACGAGCTCCTGACCTCACTGGTGCGTAGGCACCACGAGTGTGTGTAAGTTTAACAGGAAATGTTGAAACCAGAAAAAAGTTATGACTTTATGACATATGTATTAAATCATAAAATAATTAAATGATAATAAAAGAAAAAGACAAAAACAAATTCAACAACTGCATAACTCTTTCTGATCTTTCAACAGTACGAAACAAAAATTAAAATCTGTGGGAATACATTTAAATCATGTTTTTTTCTTAAAGGAGCAGTATGTAACTCTGACTCCTAGTGTTTAAAATAGGTACTGCAGTCCAAATTCAAAACATTGTAGGAGCTGTCTCCCCCCGCCCCCCCTCCTCTCTAGAGTCGATGCTCACGCAGGTTGCCATGTGGTGGACACTGAAGCTTCAGTGTTTAGCCAGCTCTGCATCGGTCTGTAAACCTTTCTGTGTTCTAACCTCTCTCCATTTTTCAAAAGCATCTCCAATATTGATCCTAGTTTGAGCACGTTTCTGCTCGTGGAGCTTATTAGAAACATGGAGAGGCTTTTCAGGTCGGGTACAATCACTTCTATCTGAACCAGTTCTCTAGACCGCTTCCATCACTGCAACACCTGTTGGTTTGACCTGATAACTGCTCTCATATCTGGCAAACCGAGGGGCGTCCAAAATGGCCGTGGGGGGGTGCCTTAAAACCGTCTACCTTCTCTGGTCCAAACAAATTTAGAGCATTCAGGACTGGAGTAGGCAGGTAGGTTTTGAGGAAACTGTTTTGAGGTATTTGTGGGTAAGTTTGCTTGTTGGAGTGAGTCAGCTTCCTTTTCCACACACGATAATCAGGAAGAGGTGAGTGACAAAATGACCAAAGAGGGTGACGCTGAATAAAGACAAGAGAAATAAATGTACTAGCATCAATAAATAAAAATGAGGTAAATAAAAAAAAAGTGCCATTAGTAAAGTATCTGAGTGTTAAAGTTTTAGTTTGGTATTTTTACATAATTTATGGTTTTGTGTTATTGAAAATGTTGGTTTGTTTTTCTGTCCTCTGTAGTTCGAGCTTCAGATCTTCGACATCGTCTGCAGCACCTCGTGGGCCAACAGAGACAAGTGCTGTGAACTTCCTGGTCTGGTGAGGTTCAGAGTTTATTTTTCTATTTACGTCTCTGTGACCCGGTTTACTCCAGTGTCTGCTAACACACACACACACACACAAACACACACACACACACACACACACACACACACACAAAACATTTTAATATTATTATAAAACATACCTCATTACTTCAGATGTTACAAGTCTTTTAACCGAACGCTTAGCTGTTCATAGTTTGTAATTTCTAATCATCTCATCCAGGTGTGTATGTGTGCTGAGCGGGATGAATAAACAGTCTCTGCAGTTACGATAACATCACGTTACTCATGAACACGTATTATTTTATATTTTATCCATGTCACCAGAGGAGCTGAAAATCATGATTTAAATGAAGGCAATTAAAGGTTTTACCAGCGCAACTTTTATTTTTGGTTTCTTTTTAAACCCATACCCGACGCTCTGCCTAGAATAAACAATAATATACAGTTTGTACCTCACGTTTAGAGTGCAGGGAATAAATGAACCAACTTACAGCCTGACAGCATGCAAAGCGAGCGAGCGTCAGGGACAAAATCGGCTTAGTTCTAATGTTTCCTTTTGGGAGTGTCCTGACTTCCCACCAGAGACCCAGTGCAACGTGGTGCGCCGCTTTTACCGCGACGCCGATTGTATTTTCCTCTCTAACGCTCATGTAGACGGGCTAAGACAAAAGCGGGTTTTCGCTGCACTGCAACTGGCTTTTCTCACTCAGCAGAGCTTATTATCTACTTATAGAAAGGGGAGGTAGTGGTGCATTAGTAATATCCTCATCCATGTTGAAATGTTGTACTTTGACCTGTGTCAACACGGATGATAAAATGTGTTCAGCTCAAGAGAGCCGTTTATTGACGAGTCTCTTGAGTGTTGTGATTTGAGGCGACAGCTCGTCAATAGAAAGCACCACACATCTGTTTGTCCTCCTTCAAAATAAAAGCACCATACTGTTTGCAGTGTTATAAAAAAAGAATGCTTTTAGTTTTATTTGGAACACATAACATAATTGCACTTAAGCCTCTTGTGGCCTCAATTAGTATTACAGCACTTGTATCGTAAGACAGAAAATGTATCTACGAAACCTTAATTTACTCGTCCTGAAGTCACAAACAAAAGACAAAGTGATGTTTAATCGTGTAAATTCTTTTTATTCTCTTATTTGTGTGTGAGTGATCTTTATTAAAGATGTTGTTCAATGTTAAAACAATCAACAAACAAATGGACATTAGAAGTTAACTATGAGGGTTGTTGACCTACAGGTATACAGACAGACAGTTTAATTGTACATAAATAATAATTCTTAATTATCATATATAAGGCCGGCTTGATGAGTTATTTTCCAACAAAAATTTACTTTTAAACTTGAAAACTCAAGAAAACAATTTTTGTTCGGCATGTTTAAACAGAATTTAAATAATTGCTTTAATGCACTTTTATTTTATTCAAATTTTCTCCATGTGGGCATTTTATTATTTGTGGTATGGGAAGAGATGACATCAAATAAGGAAGCATTATTATTTTATTAGTGGCTTGAAATACAAAAACAGTGACACGTGGGAAATGATGGTTATCCATATTTTACACTCGTTACACTTTAATTTGCATGCTTCATTAAATTAATTATTAATCCATTTCATTCTTTTTTCTTTTTCTGCGTCTTCACCTCATCTTCATCGTGCTGTGATCATCCAGAGGAAGGAGGCAGACTGCCCAGCCATGCCCAAAGCCTGCACCTGCACCCAGGACAGCAAAGGCCCCGCCGGCACTCCTGGACCTCCAGTGAGCCAAACACACATCAAATACACACTCATCCATCTGATCAGACCACAAGGAAGTCCCTGATTTTCAGAGACGATAACTACATTTTGATCATTCTGCAAAGGAACACATAGGAAGTTTGAGTTTTCAGATTTGTCTTCAAATGTTGATTACATTTTTTTTAAACAAGTTTCCAGGAAAGCTCGGACAATCTTGAATTATGTCTACGTCTCAGAAAGACATTGCTGTAGTGAAAATGACTTTTTGTTTACTTCAATAACTTTCTTTGTTTCATTCAATACATTTACTTTACTTTTTGTTTCACACAGGGAGGCCCTGGAATCAGGGGTGCCAGAGGGGATCGGGGAGAGCCGGGCCCGGTGGTGAGTTTTGTTGATTTTAAAATAGATACCCAGACATGATGTCGACACATGCTTCTTTTTAAAAAACTTGATCTGAGAAAGGACAGCAGTCCGAAAGGCCACTGAGGTTCGGACTAAACAGGAACTGTATCTTGATGAACTTTGTATCTGGCTCTTCACCGCTGATCTGTGATCTATGCAGCGCTGATCTGTGCGCCACTGAGCCTCTTTCCTCTACTCTCATCTAACATTGTTTTTAAAATTACTTGAAATTTTAATCACCCCGGAACAAAGAGCAGGTACTCAGCAGTTTGACGTTAAGCTTACATCATATCTACTTCCAATGAACTGCAGAAGCCCTAGCACACTGCCCTCTCAACCTGATCACACTCTCACTTATCTACATCGTCTTAGAAAAGAGACCCGTTTGCTAAATGGCAATTGAACAAATATTTTCTTTTTATTGCATGTTTAAAATATTGATAAAATCCTAAATAAAAGTTCCATAAAACATCACACTTTGAAAAAAAACACAATGCATTTGTCTTCATGAATTTGTTTGGATTGAAAATATAGTTGCAATTGTTATTTTTATGCAAAACAGAAAAAATAATCTCAGAAAACAGAAACAACAAAATCTAATAAAAACACTCAGGTAAAAATACAAAAACATTATTTCTTAAAGCTTATCATCACACAAGAATGAAGAAAATACAAAACTGCACGACAAACATCTAAGTCTGTGTTGATTCCATTAACAAAAAATCTGACACAAAAAAATCAGCAATAACCTTTTTTTGAGACGATGAGGAGCTATAAATTGGATCCATGTAAAGGAGATTTAAATATCAGGAAAGAAACAAACTGTTGGTGCACAATTCAGAGCATTATGTGTGAGTGTATAAAGAACGATCAAATCCTCACAGCGCACAAAGATCCCAGCACATATCAGGAGATACAGCAGCCCCAGAACGCTCGCAGTGACCCCGAAATGGCGTCTTCTGTGTTCAGTGAGCGGTCCTAAAAATACAAAGAACATCATCAAATGTCTCCATAAACCGTGCAGTTCATCTCTGTCCTTCAGATATTTACCAAAAATAACTTTGATGGAAAATGTGGTGTTCTCTTGTAAAATAAAAAAAAACACCAAAGCAATCAGATAAAAAGCCAACAGCGGAGCAGCTGACCTCCGTGGCGTGGTGGAGGGGTCTCACTGGCATCAGCAACGCTTTCTTCCAGAATCTCGTAGACCTCCACTCTGCTCTCCTCTGTTCCTCCCGCGTCCTGAAGTGTCTCATCTGCAGCTTGAATATCTGAGTTCATCTTGAACGAAGTTGAAATGAAGTGACCCTGTCCTTAACTGTTTGTTTCAGTCAGGCGGCTTTTCAGTGTGAGCAACGGGGAAGTACAAAAAAGGTCAAAGCTGCAGATTTCTCAGAACCATCTGATAAACTAACAAGCAAGCAGTTTTCGGAAAACTTCTTTTTTTTTTTTTATTAGAAACGGGCGTTGTAAAATGTTCCAAGATTTGAACAAGTGCAAATGGAAGAAATAAAAAAATTGAAAATGAAATAAAGAGCACCCACCTGTAGACGAAACCTTTCTTACAAAATATGAATCAAGTCCAGTTTAACATTTAATGTGAACTTTATTGAGACTGCAGCATCAAACAAATCAGAAGCGCTCTGCAGAGAAACATGTGCACACAGTCGTTAATGATCCTTCATCCTGGATTTAAAATCCTTCAAGCCGACTGAACGCTGGAGTTTAAGGCGACTCAGACCGACATGATGGAACAAAAACACTAAAAGCCAAAGAGAGCGAGTTCATGGAGAGACAAACATGATAATGCCTAGAGCAGCTGACCATTTATGATATTAATATCAACAACAGACACATTTGATGTATTGCTCTAGTATCTGGACACACATTAACACGTGTTGTAGAAGTTGTTGGTTAGCTTTGGTAACTTCCCCTCTCCTCAACACGCTTACATACACACATTCATTTGGGCAGGTGTGCAGTGAATAGCGGTAGGCGACTGTCTGCACGGTGTTTCCCTCACAGACTATATCTGGGCAGACCCAAAATGTGAGACTCTGACACCAAGAAGCTTTGGACATAAACATGGGGACAGAATATTTAAATCCATTCCATAACCGTTAGTGAGGTCACCAGGAAAGAATCACCGTTACATGTCAGTCTCTGTTGATTGGTTTCTCACATATCCATCTTCTCGAGCCGTTGTTGGTTTGGTTCATCTTTCCTCCCTGATTGATGTAAACTTTGGACCCTTCCACAGGTTCCACATTGATGTCTTTATCCCAGAAGCTGTAGACAGAGACGAGTATTGAACAGTGTTAGAGCCTCAAAATAAAACCATTTTTATAAGAAGATGGATGCAGTTATTTTTAATATAAAGTACTCTGGAAACAATCACAATTTAAAGGCTTAATATGCGATTTTTCACACTTAAATGTAATAGAAATCAATTATATCCTCTGAAAATAACTCTGAGTCGTGACTGTTTACAATGGGTGTAACACCCGAGTCCCACTGTCTGTGATGCTTTCCGAGTTTTCCGAGTCCTATCTTCACTTTGTTTACATCGTCGGGACGGCCGGCTGGCTCAACCCCTTGCATATAAAAGTTGTTTACTTGAGGGACTAGAGAAAAGAAGAATTACATACTGTACTCACTGCTTAACTTTGTTTCTAGATCACGGTCATTTTGGGTAAATTTACATGCAGTATGAAGATATGATCATAATAAAGATCACTAGCATTAGCATGCTAACACAATAATGCAGCGCAAGTTGTTTTGGTTTCATGCTGGTGCTCAAGGGCGACATCTTCTGGATCAAAAAATCGCATATAAAGCCTTTAATTATTATATTTCTGGTTACTAATTTAGATAGCTATTTAAATTAAGGTCAACATATCTGTCAGGGGGGGCCACAGTAGCTCATTCTGTTGGGGTTTGGGTTGGGAACGGGAGGGTCCCCGTTTTAAAGGTCACATATTCTCTAAAATCCACTTCACCATGTTGTTCTAACACCAACATGTGTCCGTAGTCCGGCTACAAATCCCACAATGATGAGAAAAGTCCATCCTGCAGTGCAGACTAAGTTTGGATATTGGTGTAGTAGTTAGAGATGTGCCAGTTCCGTTCCTGAGCACTGGCAAGGTGTCCTTGAAAAAGGCCCAGCAGTCCTTGCTGTGGGCAGCCCGCCCCCACCCTGAAATCTCTCTTATCAGTGCATGTTCATAGGATGTGTGTGTTGCATGTTCAATAACAGTTTTAAATTTCACCTAACAGGATTTATAAAGTTTATCTTCTTCTATATTTACCATTAACTAGCTGCTTATTAGCATTAGCTATTAGTAGCATTCCGACTGCTTATTAGTTACTTATTCTACATGACCGTTGTCTTTAGCTTACAGGTCATTAACTAAGAGTTAGCCCTGCTTTTACTGCTGATTGAAAGTCAGTTGGGAAGTTGTTGAACATGAATTATGATCTTAATATGCTTTGCTTAATTTGGCCCTTATAAGGTAGAAGTTACTAGTTCATTGTGACCTTAATTTAACGAGTTACATATAATCATGTTTATTTGTTAACCGGATATATGAACACAGTTCTGCCCTCGTGTGGCGGATGTGGATAAAACAAATACATATGAATACATATGCAATCAAAGTGGAAGGAAACACAAGGGCAAGAAGTAAAACTCAACATGAAACGCTGCGGACAGAACTATAAAATAAAACAGGCAACACTAAAGGCTAGGGCTGCACGATATTGGGAAAAAATGACATTGCAATATTTTTGTTATATTCGATATATATTGCGATATTTTTCAAAGTTTACTGCTTCACTCTGTTCAGCTGAATTCTCCCTGACTCTCTCTGAAATTATGATTACAGACTCTCCCCTAATTGCCTCTGTCTCTCTCTGCCGCTGTGAACGCTATTTGTGTTTGCAAAGAGTCTTAATCATGTTGATATCTGTTAATTAGTGATATTGATCTGTAATATTTCAAGTGATGCAAGCGATTCTTCTCACATCAGGTCAGACTTTTAATAACGCGCTCATGCACTGAGGTTCCGTCATTTAAGTTTCCCTCCGCGACCAAATAATATTACGGGGATATTTATTAAATATGTTAAAGTGCTGCGCCCCTCCAGCCTGCACGTGCGAGAGAGAGAGAGACACACAGTGGGAGCGCGCACATACACACAGGCTGAGCAGACGCGCAATGGCTCACAGAGTTTGTCCTCCTCCTGCGTTTTGCCTTTCTTTGTAGGCTTGAGTAATCAGTTGCCAGAGATGTGAATTAATGAAAAGTAATGTTTAGAGACGTTTCTAGAACAAGCACAATGCATTTTGTGAAGATGGTCCGTCTTGGAAAGAGAAAAAAGGGAGATTTCTTTCGGAAGCAAAGCAAACTTTAAGCAACGGATTACTTCGACATTAAACTATGACTGTTTCATGTTTTATGGCAGCTCATGAAATCGTAAGGCGTGGGAAGGAGGACGTGAAATAAACAATAAAATGGGCTATCAGAAGATCGAAACTTAGACCTCAAAAACAAAACAGAGCCCATTCTGACTGAAGACAAAGTTGAACGCACAGATCTGGAAGCCGCTGCCTTTAACCCCGAATGTGTTAAGTATAGCCCCTTATGTGATGTTAACTATAAGCAGACTGTCAGATTGTCAAAAGCCCTGCTATGCTCCGCTCACATTCACCGCTCTCTCTCTCGCAGTCGCTCGACCACCCACGCTGCATGTTGCTCTGCCCGACTGTAGGTGAGATGACAGAGCGCTGAGAAGGTGCTCTAACTATGAGAGTTGTTGCATGTAATGTGGTAAAATGTATAAATGTATGCTCATTTAGTTCTATTAGCAATGTGAATGGGCGTAGACATGCTACATAAACTTAATTAAAAGGCTCAAATATATTTTTCGTACTCCTCGTCGCGACTGACGATGCTGAAACGTCGCAATGACGATGCTGAAACAATATATATCGTGCAGCCCTACTAAAGGCCAACTGAGAACACAGCGCTCTGTTACAGAGTTTGTTTGTCTCAATTTGCAGCTACAGACGATAGCAGGCTGTTACGTTACTGATGACACTTTTCTGAATAATGACGTCTGTAACCACCAGCTGATTCATGAGGGATAAACACAGACACGGAGGGATGAAACAGAAAAAAAGCTGCGTTTTGTGGATCACACACGGCCCTGAACCGTGGGGGGTGACCAAATCAGCATCCAGTAGCTTCCGGCGCTGCTGTTGGATCTCATACAGAGACGCAGGAGGATTTAATCAATTTAGGGTTTCTCTTTTACAAAGGTTGTTAAGGTGGAGGGCGCGTGTTGTTAAGTCTGCCACCTTCACTTCAAAGCGCTGCGGGAAATGCTGAACACAGACTTTACATTCACACTTTGACATAAAATGGACCTAACACTCACGTGTTCCTCTTTGCTGTTGATGATCACCAGATCTGCTCCTCTGTTCACACAGTCCGCTCTGCTCTCACTCCAGCTTCTCATCTCCGTAGATCGGTAGTAGCAGCTGCATCGAAACCTTCTCCAAAACCCTTCAGAACAAACAATCCTTTTCATTGTGTTTTATTAACAGAGTTTTAATCATTCTGGATTAATTAGACTGAAGGTATTTCTCACCTGTGCTGTTGGTCTCAGACAGGCATAAACTGTTGTTCAGGTTTTTATAACTGTTGCTCAGCTCCTCGTAACTGGTCTGCAGCTCCTCGTAACTGGTTTTATACGTCAGGTCTGTTTGCACCAGGAAAGACAAAGACACAGTGCGCTGATGTAGAATCAAACCTTAAATTCAGTTTTGATTTACTGAAGATAAAAAAATATATGTTCAAAAACAACATCACAGGTTTTTTCAGAATATGTCCCCTTTAACATCAAGATCTATGAGAGTCATGGATTGTAAACTGGGTGGCACCTTGCAGACGGCCACCCTTTTCTGATTGTTGATGATGCTTTTATGCTTCTTTGCATGCAGTGAAAACAGTGCAGAGGCAGGCCTCAGGAGATTACAGTTTGTATAAAAGTGTTCAAAATCTTTCTGAAATAACGACATTAGCTTCATGTCGTTATTTTTTCAGAGCAGTAAAGCGCTGGCTGTGTGCTCTGGAGCGCTTACATTAAAGTGTTTGTGCGCTCAGAAGAAAAGAGCTGCGCGCCGAGATAAAAATGACAACATGTTCTCTCCGTTTCCTTATCATCACAGGATCTATGATTGCTAGGCAATGTGTGTGGTTATGATCTGTTGAAGGTAAACATACAAACTTAACTCCCCTGACTGCTGAGCTATTTCACATTTGCACATGTCCCAAATGACTGAGTTCACATTCAACAGTTTTGATGGCGCTCTTTTGAAGGCATTAACTGGATAAAGAGAATATAATGTCCATTTAAATATGCATATTCATCACTAAAGTATTTTATTTTGACAGTTTTACAAGAAAGGTAGAGACTTTGTGCCAGCTGCAGACATGAATCCGACCTGTCTATTCTCGATTAGTAAAATGTTTTAGACCCAAATACCAATCGTTTTATTTTGACGTCAGCGTGCATATTTTACTTCGGCAGGCATAGCAACGAAGACATGTAAAGGAGATTTAAATATCAGGAAAGAAACAAACTGTTGGTGCACAATTCAGAGCATTATGTGTGAGTGTATAAAGAAAGATCAAATCCTCACAGCGCACAAAGATCCCAGCACATATCAGGAGATACAGCAGCCCCAGAACGCTCGCAGTGACCCCGAAATGGCGTCTTCTGTGTTCAGTGAGCGGTCCTAAAAATACTAAGAACATCATCAAATGTCTCCATAAACCGTGCAGTTCATCTCTGTCCTTCAGATATTTACCAAAAATAACTTTGATGGAAAATGTGGTGTTCTCTTGTAAAATAAAAAAAAACACCAAAGCAATCAGATAAAAAGCCAACAGCAGAGCAGCTGACCTCCGTGGCGTGGTGGAGGGGTCTCACTGGCATCAGCAACGCTTTCTTCCAGAATCTCGTAGACCTCCACTCTGCTCTCCTCTGTTCCTCCCGTGTCCTGAAGTGTCTCATCTGCAGCTTGAATATCTGAGTTCATCTTGAACGAAGTTGAAATGAAGTGACCCTGTCCTTAACTGTTTGTTTCAGTCAGGCGGCTTTTCAGTGTGAGCAACGGGGAAGTACAAAAAAGGTCAAAGCTGCAGATTTCTCAGAACCATCTGATAAACTAACAAGCAAGCAGTTTTCGGAAAACTTCTTTTTTTTTTTTTATTAGAAACGGGCGTTGTAAAATGTTCCAAGATTTGAACAAGTGCAAATGGAAGAAATAAAAAAATTGAAATTGAAATAAAGAGCACCCACCTGTAGACGAAACCTTTCTTACAAAATATGAATCAAGTCCAGTTTAACATTTAATGTGAACTTTATTGAGACTGCAGCATCAAACAAATCAGAAGCGCTCTGCAGAGAAACATGTGCACACAGTCGTTAATGATCCTTCATCCTGGATTTAAAATCCTTCAAGCCGACTGAACGCTGGAGTTTAAGGCGACTCAGACCGACATGATGGAACAAAAACACTAAAAGCCAAAGAGAGCGAGTTCATGGAGAGACAAACATGATAATGCCTAGAGCAGCTGAACATTTATGATATTAATATCAACAACAGACACATTTGATGTATTGCTCTAGTATCTGGACACACATTAACACGTGTTGTAGAAGTTGTTGGTTAGCTTTGGTAACTTCCCCTCTCCTCAGCACGCTTACATACACACATTCATTTGGGCAGGTGTGCAGTGAATAGCGGTAGGCGACTGTCTGCACGGTGTTTCCCTCACAGACTATATCTGGGCAGACCCAAAATGTGAGACTCTGACACCAAGAAGCTTTGGACATAAACATGGGGACAGAATATTTAAATCCATTCCATAACCGTTAGTGAGGTCACCAGGAAAGAATCACCGTTACATGTCAGTCTCTGTTGATTGGTTTCTCACATATCCATCTTCTCGAGCCGTTGTTGGTTTGGCTCATCCTTCCTCCCTGATTGATGTAAACTTTGGACCCTTCCACAGGTTCCACATTGATGTCTTTATCCCAGAAGCTGTAGACAGAGACGAGTATTGAACAGTGTTAGAGCCTCAAAATAAAACCATTTTTATAAGAAGATGGATGCAGTTATTTTTAATATAAAGTACTCTGGAAACAATCACAATTTAAAGGCTTAATATGCGATTTTTCACACTTAAATGTAATAGAAATCAATTATATCCTCTGAAAATAACTCTGAGTCGTGACTGTTTACAATGGGTGTAACACCCGAGTCCCACTGTCTGTGATGCTTTCCGAGTTTTCCGAGTCCTATCTTCACTTTGTTTACATCGTCGGGACGGCCGGCCGGCTCATCCCCTTGCATATAAAAGTTGTTTACTTGAGGGACTAGAGAAAAGAAGAATTACATACTGTACTCACTGCTTAACTTTGTTTCTAGATCACGGTCATTTTGGGTAAATTTACATGCAGTATGAAGATATGATCATAATAAAGATCACTAGCATTAGCATGCTAACACAATAATGCAGCGCAAGTTGTTTTGGTTTCATGCTGGTGCTCAAGGGCGACATCTTCTGGATCAAAAAATCGCATATAAAGCCTTTAATTATTATATTTCTGGTTACTAATTTAGATAGATATTTAAATTAAGGTCAACATATCTGTCAGGGGGGGCCACAGTAACTCAGTCTGTTGGGGTTTGGGTTGGGAACGGGAGGGTCCCCGTTTTAAAGGTCACATATTCTCTAAAATCCACTTCACCATGTTGTTCTAACACCAACATGTGTCCGTAGTCCGGCTACTTCCAAGCCCTTCCAGAGAGGGGGCGTGGTCAGACACAGCTCATTTACATTTAAAGGTCCTTTCGTGTGGCGGATGTGGATAAAACAAATACATATGAATACATAAATGATTCTCATTATTTTAAAGTAACTACTAAACAAAGACATAGTTTTCTTTAACACATAATTTCTCACAGCAGTTTGGGCGTCGATCTGTCCACCCATTTCCATTCCCACTCATTTCGAAAATTATCCATTCTTACTGACAGCAGACCAATCCATGATGCTCCACGTTCATTCAGGTCACAGAGAAAGTCCTGGTCATTGAACAACAGAGACAATAAATGTTATTTTTTACTTCAAGAACAAGTATGTGTCATGATAATACAGTAATTTTATCAAATATTCAAAAGGGAAATCAAACTTTCAGTCAACCTAACGACAGGCTGAGAGCTGGAGCTGAGGCGGGTTTTAAGCCTCCTGACAAACCGTTACACCGCATCCGCCTGTCAATCAGATCAGCTACACGCCTTATTGTGAATAACTCTCATCCTTTATCAAATCAAAACGGATGAGTTATCAAAACATTTACCCCCCGTACAGTGTGTGTTGATCGAGATATGAGCTAATCAGACCTATTTGGTTTTTTGAACCAGGCTGTAAACATGTTAATCTCTGCTGTAAAAACAGGCTTTTTAGAATGTGTGTGTATGTGACTTCCTGTGCTTCTGTAGCCAGCCTCTAGTGGACACTCGAGGAACTGTAGGATTTGACACTTCAGCATCGGCTTCATTTTCTTAACACCAAGGGGTGCCGCTTGGAAAGCACAGATGAAACTGGTGAGGGCAATCAAAGTGGAAGGAAACACAAGGGCAAGAAGTAAAACTCAACATGAAACGCTGCGAACACAGGACTACAAAATAAAACAGGAAACACTAAAGGCCAACTGAGAACACAGCGCTCTGTTACAGAGTTTGTTTGTCTCAATTTGCAGCTACAGACGATAGCAGGCTGTTACGTTACTGATGACACTTTTCTGAATAATGACGTCTGTAACCACCAGCTGATTCATGAGGGATAAACACAGACACGGAGGGATGAAACAGAAAAAAAGCTGCGTTTTGCGGATCACACACGGCCCTGAACCGTGGGGGGTGACCAAATCAGCATCCAGCAGCTTCCGGCGCTGCTGTTGGATCTCATACAGAGACGCAGGAGGATTTAATCAATTTAGGGTTTCTCTTTTACAAAGGTTGTTAAGGTGGAGGGCGCGTGTTGTTAAGTCTGCCACCTTCACTTCAAAGCGCTGCGGGAAACGCTGAACACAGACTTTACATTCACACTTTGACATAAAATGGACCTAACACTCACGTGTTCCTCTTTGCTGTTGATGATCACCAGATCTGCTCCTCTGTTCACACAGTCCGCTCTGCTCTCACTCCAGCTTCTCATCTCCGTAGATCGGTAGTAGCAGCTGCATCGAAACCTTCTCCAAAACCCTTCAGAACAAACAATCCTTTTCATTGTGTTTTATTAACAGAGTTTTAATCATTCTGGATTAATTAGACTGAAGGTATTTCTCACCTGTGCTGGTGGTCTCAGACAGGCAGAAACTGTTGTTCAGGTTTTTATAACTCTTGCTCAGCTCCTCGTAACTGGTTTTATACGTCATGTTGAGCTCGTCTGTTTGCACCAGGAAAGACAAAGAAACAGGGCGCTGACGTAGAATCAAACCTTTTATTTCAGTTTTGATTGACTGAAGATGTGTCGTTGAAATAAAGACATGGTCCTCACAGAGTTTAGACAGCACAGTGACGGCTGCGACCAGCAGGACACAAAGCAGAGCCAGGATCAGTGAGACAGCTTTCAAAGGGTTTTTTTGGACCGCAGGAGGAGGACGCTTTGGACTGCGTGCTGGTGAGAGACAAACTGTTGAGACATTCAACATGTTTAGAGGTCACATGTTTCTGTAACACTAATGTGTGTCTCTAGTCTGTCTACAAACCCCCCAATCATGAGAAAAGTCCATCCTCTCCATCTTTAGCCGGCTCCACTTTTCATAAAATGTGTGCTGAAACAGGCTGTTTGGAGATTTTCCCTTCATGACATCACATAGGGCAGTAGCCCCTCCCCCAGGTGGTTGACACTCCCACAGCTAGGTGTTTGTTCTGCCTCTTGAGTCTGCCCTCTCACCGTAAACAATAGGACATGGAGCGAGAAAGCCTGAGACACCCAAGCCCTTCCAGAGAGGGGGCGTGGTCAGACACAGCTCATTTACATTTAAAGGTACAGACACAGAAACAGCCTGTTCTGAGCAGGGCTGAAATAGAGGGGTTTATAGACATGATCAAATACAGGATCAGAGTGGATTTAGAATAAGAAACTTCACACATCTGTTTTGAGGAGCTCTGAGACTTATTTAAACTGGTTGAAGAGGAGGAGGATATGTGACCTTTAATGCAGCTGTTGGTCAGATTTATCTTTGTATAAAGATGACCAACCCCCTTCACCTAAAACTCACATTAATGTTACAGACTAAAGGTCAAAGGTTTCTCTGGTGTGTTCAGTCCACAGAAAAGATACTTGTGTCTGTGTGAAGCAGACCCTCACGGTTATGGAAAGTTCAATGACTCCTTTTCTTAGAGCTCATTTCCTCTCACCGTTCCTCCTCGACTCTGATTATCTACTGTCAAAACAGACGACTAATTTATATTGGATAAAATGCCATTTAAAAGTGGAACTGAAAGAAATCACCAACCCTGCCTTTTAGCTGATGCGATTCTATTCAAAACGAGAACGAGACCTGTTTGATTTCACGGTTTAAAAAAAAAAAAAAACAGAACTCCTCAGCGCTGAAATTTGGTCATTTCTCTATTTTAATTCACAGAAACTTCAAGAGTCCTGCAATTTGTCTAAACATTGGCAACGGGGGGCTATGGAAACCCTTCCAACATATTTGTGCAGATAACAGTGATCATATCGTTTTGTTGTCTTAAAGTATCATAACGTTAAATACTTTGATGAACTTAAACGACCTGATGGGTAAAAACATCACTTAACCTCCTTTACATGTTAATCAGAGACAAGCCCTTCATTTGAATAAATTACCCACGTTCATTTTCTGTGAACAGTCCTAAATGTTTTTGATTAAGGTGTATTGAGTTCGTGTGTACCTCCGTCTCGTGTTAACAGATAATCTTGAGTAGATATGTCGGCGCTCTCGTAGATGACGACCACTCTCTCCACGCTCTCTGCTCTTTCTGCTCCGTCTTTTTGGACTCCCTCGCCGTAGCTCACGGTCAGAGAGCAAGTCGGTTCTTCATAAATGTTAGAGGACATTTTGAGGAGAGTCATTCGCGTTATGTTGCAGTTTGTTTCTCATCAGAGTCAGCTCTTCTTCTGCTGCTGAAGGTGTCGTCTGTAAACGTGCACACAAGTCTTTGTGATTTTGGTGTACGTGTTGTTGCCACGGTTTCCACATCCAGGAAGCAATAACAGGAAAACACACCGCTACGTTCTTATCTCGGTTTTGATGATCAAATGATTTCAGCTTCGAAGCTCTCCTTTAGTTGACATCCCTACCTGTAATCATGAGACACTTTAATGGACCTTTTTTAATTTGTTTTTATGTGCTGTCCTATTTGTCTTCTCTCGATGCGAGGCAAATTCCCCTATGAGTAACGAAGGTTATAGACAATCATTCTAAACACTTTTAAAAATGTTTTCATCTTTTGCATGTTTCAGGTTTTCACTCCAGATTAACTTCTGAGAGCCGGCTTTTTTTCTTTTCAGGATGATAAGTGTGCTTTGTGGTGTTTGCTGCAGCCTCAGTCAGATTTTTCACTGATTTGAATTCTTTTAAATTCCCCGTTGGTTTAATTTGATTATTTTCTTTTCTAACTTGTGTTTTACTTTTCTTCTTTATCAACCTGAAGCACACATCCTGTCGCACTCAAATTAGATCCTCTTATCACCACGGTCATGTCCTCGTGAGCATCTTCACTCGCTCTCAGATGTTACACAACTTTAAAAAAAAATTATAATCTGATGTTCACAAAAACATGAGCAGCAAAAGCCTTCAGCATTAGAACGTGGTCTTAGTTTGTGGTGTAAAGAATCAGCAGGTTTTACACAGGTGTGCTTTCATTCATGTATTGTACTAGAGAAACTAAACGACTCTGTTCACTCTAGAGACGGAATATAGACAGCAAGACTGGATTATTATTGGATGATAACTTTATGGCTGCAGGTTACTTAATATTTGTGCAGGACAAATGTTGATATCTAGAAAATTATCCGTGTCCATAAAGTTACATCACGACGTTGTCTAATGTGGTTTAATAACTCTAAACCAGTTTTAAACTATGCTATGTGGTCTGGATACGGCAGCGTTTAGCGCTTCTTTTACAAAATACTCTAAAGGTCGACGCTCTCGTTTCTCTTAAACAAGTCGAGTCACTTGTCTCAAATCGTGTCACCTCAGTGTGCGCTTATTTTCTCTAAATATTCTTATTGCTGTCCATTTTTGTATCTCGACAGCATTGTGTAAGAGTCGCTGCACCTGTTAACAAGTCAGTCTGTTGTTAATTCTCTCTCTCTCTCTCTCCCCAGGGACCGACTGGTCCAGTTGGTGACATAGGTGTAGCTGGACCTCAGGGACCCCAAGGACCACAGGGACCCAGTGGGCGCTCCATCATCGGGTCCCCGGTACGACGAACACACAACAACAGAGTGATTTAACTTAGCAGCAAAGATAAAGTGGCCCGGGGCGCTGGTGGCGCAGTGGTTAGTGCACACGCCCCATGTATGGAGGCTGTAGTCCTCAACGCGGGTGGCCCCGGGTCAAGTTCACTGTCCTATCTCTAAATTAAAGGCACAAAAAGCCCAAAAATAAATCTTACATTAAAAGAAAAAAAAAAAAAGATAAAGTTCACCTGGGTGATTGGTGCGATCCAGATCCTTTTCTTTGGATCCTTCCTGAGAGGAGTCCACTGATTATAATTTAAACATCTGAGGTCGTTCTCTGAGCGCCGACCTCCATCCGTGGAGCGGCTGAAGAGCAAGAGTTTCTGCTTTACTCGAACTCTTTAATTGTCTCTTTATAGAGCTGAAATCGTTTGATTCTGTTATTACACTGAATTTATTTTCTATTCTGTTTTCTTTTTTGAGTGCAGGGTCCTCCTGGAGAGAGAGGACAGAAAGGTGACGCTGGACAACAAGGAGCTCAGGTATGAAGGAGGAAACGATGTGAAAGAACAGATTTACCCTCGGCATGGCTGTTCAGGACGCTCATAGGACGCTTTCTTTACCCGGCATAAATAGATGCAGACACTCTAATGTAACCCATGAGCCATTTGAAGCCATGATCAGGATACACTGGACCATTGTTACCAAAGGCCTTTTATTTCAGTTCCTCGTGGTAATTTGGATTATTTCACTGGTAAGAAGGCACAGGGGAAAGTTTTTTAGATGTGCTTTTAATAGTCCATTTTCAGAACATTGTAGTTTCACCACGGCAGACCCACGTCATTAACCTCGACGGCCTGTCACATTTAATGACGTGGCCTAGTGGAAATGTGGTCGGATTGTCAGAGCAACGCGACCACATTTCCCTAAGTCCTATATGAATTCTCCTAACATCTTTCCTTAACCTCATGACGTTTTCCCTGGGGTTAAGGTGAAGAGGATAGTGAAAGGAGATAAGAGGGACAATTTGGATGCAACCCTTCTTTTTGCAACTACTTGAGTCACCGCCTGCTGGTCACCCAAGGGAGTGCATGTTAAAATCCCTCTCTCATTGGCTGTCCTTGTCAAACCTCATGGTTAATTAGTTTATGTTTTAAACAGACGGCAAGTTTGTCGTAATGTGAGTATTTCACATTTGGTCTTCTACATCAGCCTCATGAGGCTGCAGAGCTCAAAAGCTACCCAGCTTGATTTTGCATTCTGCAGTTTTGTTTTGGTAAATGTGAGTTTGTCCGTCAGAGATACAAACTAATGCAGCTTGTTATTGACAGCGAGGAGGGCAGCAGGCTGTTTCACAAAGAGACTAGTCATTATGTCTCTGCTGTGAAACACTCGCACCAACACGACCTTTCAGGAGCACACAGTTGTCAGATTCTGAATAATGGTGCCATTTGCCAAAGGTTGAGTTCTGTTATTTCTGTTTCCTATTTTCCTGCAACAACAGGAGCACATTTTTAACAAGAGAGCCGAATCTTTTCTGTTTCTGAGGTTTTCTTTTTAAGGAGGATTCTCAGACATGTCTCGGGATCGGACTGAACACAGTAGTTTCTAGTTTTATGATCTGCTCATCAATGAGAATACATTTAAACTTTGGGTAGTTCAACGTGGGTGTCATGGAGCATTTCGACGATAAAGAGGCTGGTAGAAAGCGTCTGCGTCGACAGGATGTATTCGACCTTCAGCGTCCTCTGCTATTGTTTTTGTGTTTCAGGGAATCCCTGGCAGAGCCGGAGGTCCGGGTCGAGAAGGACCTGCAGGAGTCAGAGTGAGTTATAATGTTTACAACAACACTGATACACTGGCAATCGAGCTTCAGCACGGTACGGGACAACTTGTGTGAGTGCGCCCTAAAATGTCAGTGTCCATCATACACACGTCTTTCTCCTCCACAGGGACTTCCAGGCAAGGACGGACCACCCGGCAGACCGGGTCCTGCAGGGACTATCGTAAGTGAACATTTAACAATGACGGCCCTCATCTCTTTGTGTGTTTTTTCAACAGGACACAAGTCCAGTGTGTGTTAATGAAGCTACACATCTCTCTCTTTATTGAATGTTTGAAGTTATTTGATGCTAAAAACTGAAAACTGTTGAGA